CTGCCGCCCGCGCCGCCGAGCTGTCCGTGACCACCTTAGGTACGCCAAGGGTCGGACGCCGTGGCCCTCCGGCCTCCGGGGGAGGTGCTGCTGAAGTGGGGCCTTGCGGTCTGAGATTCGAAACGGAGGAACACTAGGGGAAGCTGGGGACACTGGGCTCCGGAGGGACAGCAGCAGGACAACCACCAGGGCCGGGGCTCGGAGACTTTGCGTGTCGGGCTGTCGGAAGACTGAGTTGCATTATGGGGAGGAGGAGGCTGGGGAGGGGGTGCCTTGCACGGCGCAGGTGGACCAGCTGCCCAAGCCCACTTGTCCAGGCAGCTCCCGAGCTTAAAGTAGCCCCTCTGCTTTCCCCAACGGGAACCTAGAGGGCTCTGATCTGCCCTGTCACCTGTGAGCAGAGACTTTTTAGCCTTTTGTAGCTGCTTCCCCAGGGACTTGGCACATAAGGAGTCCCCAGAGGTGCCTTGAGAGTCCGTCTGTAGAATGGGTCGGGTCATTCGGGCTGTTTGGAGGAGGGAGTTGTGCAACAGCGCTCAGACTAACAACAGTTTGAAACTCTGGTGCCCAGGCCAAGGCCAGGCCTCCCCCTCCTGGTCACATCGGCTCTGACTGGTCCAGCTTCAGTCGCCCTTGCACCCCTTCTACTGCTGGGGCTCCAGGCGCCTCCCCTGGCTCTGAGGTTACAAAATTACCTGCCCCCTTCACCCCTGGAACGAGAAAAGGTGCTAAGGAATAGCCCTGGGCCAAGATCACCCAGGCAGAATCTTGGCAGGCCAGAATCTTTCCACCCAGTTCTATTCTATTAATAAAAGAGCATCCGAGTCTTGTAGACTTTGGAGGGTGCCTCACCCCAGGTCCAGCCCACCCACGCAGAACCCTGGTGACCCCACCTGGGTGTTTTTCCCTGGCAGTGAGACCCTCATGGAGGAGAGCCTGGCACTGGAAAGCCATGCTAACCCTGGGACAGAACTTAGCAAACTTCCTGTGAAAGAGCAGATCAGCCTGCAGCTGGCTGCTTAATGCTGCCACTTTAGCGTGAAAGCAGCCTTTGACACGGTGTGCGAATGAGCGTGACAGGGTTCTTGTGAATGCACACTGGTATTTTTCATTTCAAATGATTTTCAGGTGCTACAAAATCTAGTTCCCTTTTTCTTCAACTGTATACTCATGGGCCATACAAAAACAGGTGGCAGTCTGTGATTTCCTGATCCTCTCTAGGTACTTCCCTAGGTAAGCATACAGAGTGATACTTTTTTAAAAATAGTTTTAGCCCAGGACCAGCCTATAGCATAATGATTAGAATCCTCTCTAGGTACTTCCCTAGGTAAGGATACAGAGTGATACTTTTTTAAAAATAGTTTTAGCCCAGGACCAGCCTATAGCATAATGATTAGACCACTGGACTCCCACATGGCTGACCGCGGTTTAAGTCCTGGACCTGGCAATTTGAAACACACCAGGCACATGTGTGTGCCCAAAATCCCAAGAGGAGATTAGAAGAGAAGGGATTGTGGCGTGGCCATCCCCCCATGAGGGTGATTTCTCGCTTTCTGAGAGAGAGAGAGACAGCGAGAAATCACCCCTGGGGGGATGGCCACACTGCAATCTCTTCTCTTCCATTCTTCCCTCGGGATTTTGGGCATGCCCACGCGTCCAGCGTGAGTTTTAAGCTACTGAGTCTAGGACTCAAACCGTGGTTGACTACATGGGAGTCCAACAATGTAACCAGTATGCCATCTGCTGGTCCCAGTTTGTTTTAGTTTTGCTATAGGGAGTGTCCTCAGGGCAATGACCATGCCACACTCTCTTGTCCTCCATGCTCATTCTCCTCTTGGGATTTTGGGTATGCACACACACATACCTATTGTGATTTTCAATCTTCCAGGCCCAGGACCCAAACTGTGCAGTCAGCCTTCGCGCCGCCGAGCTGTCCGTGACCACCTTAGGTACGCCAAGGGTCGGACGCCGTGGCCCTCCGGCCTCCGGGGGAGGTGCTGCTGAAGTGGGGCCTCGCAGTCTGAGATTCGAAACGGAGGAACACTAGGAGAAGTGGGGGACACTGGGCTCCGGAGGGACAGCAGCAGGACAACCCCCAGGGCCGGGGCTCGGAGACTTTGCGTGTCGGGCTGTCGGAAGACTGAGTTGCATTATGGGGAGGAGGAGGCTGGGGAGGGGGTGCCTTGCACGGCGCAGGTGGACCAGCTGCCCAAGCCCACTTGTCCAGGCAGCTCCCGAGCTTAAAGTAGCCCCTCTGCTTTCCCCAACGGGAACCTAGAGGGCTCTGATCTGCCCTGTCACCTGTGAGCAGAGACTTTTTAGCCTTTTGTAGCTGCTTCCCCAGGGACTTGGCACATAAGGAGTCCCCAGAGGTGCCTTGAGAGTCCGTCTGTAGAATGGGTCGGGTCATTCGGGCTGTTTGGAGGAGGGAGTTGTGCAACAGCGCTCAGACTAACAACAGTTTGAAACTCTGGTGCCCAGGCCAAGGCCAGGCCTCCCCCTCCTGGTCACATCGGCTCTGACTGGTCCAGCTTCAGTCGCCCTTGCACCCCTTCTACTGCTGGGGCTCCAGGCGCCTCCCCTGGCTCTGAGGTTACAAAATTACCTGCCCCCTTCACCCCTGGAACGAGAAAAGGTGCTAAGGAATAGCCCTGGGCCAAGATCACCCAGGCAGAATCTTGGCAGGCCAGAATCTTTCCACCCAGTTCTATTCTATTAATAAAAGAGCATCCGAGTCTTGTAGACTTTGGAGGGTGCCTCACCCCAGGTCCAGCCCACCCACGCAGAACCCTGGTGACCCCACCTGGGTGTTTTTCCCTGGCAGTGAGACCCTCATGGAGGAGAGCCTGGCACTGGAAAGCCATGCTAACCCTGGGACAGAACTTAGCAAACTTCCTGTGAAAGAGCAGATCAGCCTGCAGCTGGCTGCTTAATGCTGCCACTTTAGCGTGAAAGCAGCCTTTGACACGGTGTGCGAATGAGCGTGACAGGGTTCTTGTGAATGCACACTGGTATTTTTCATTTCAAATGATTTTCAGGTGCTACAAAATCTAGTTCCCTTTTTCTTCAACTGTATACTCATGGGCCATACAAAAACAGGTGGCAGTCTGTGATTTCCTGATCCTCTCTAGGTACTTCCCTAGGTAAGCATACAGAGTGATACTTTTTTAAAAATAGTTTTAGCCCAGGACCAGCCTATAGCATAATGATTAGACCACTGGACTCCCACATGGCTGACCGCGGTTTAAGTCCTGGACCTGGCAATTTGAAACACACCAGGCACATGTGTGTGCCCAAAATCCCAAGAGGAGATTAGAAGAGAAGGGATTGTGGCGTGGCCATCCCCCCATGAGGGTGATTTCTCGCTTTCTGAGAGAGAGAGAGACAGCGAGAAATCACCCCTGGGGGGATGGCCACACTGCAATCTCTTCTCTTCCATTCTTCCCTCGGGATTTTGGGCATGCCCACGCGTCCAGCGTGAGTTTTAAGCTACTGAGTCTAGGACTCAAACCGTGGTTGACTACATGGGAGTCCAACAATGTAACCAGTATGCCATCTGCTGGTCCCAGTTTGTTTTAGTTTTGCTATAGGGAGTGTCCTCAGGGCAATGACCATGCCACACTCTCTTGTCCTCCATGCTCATTCTCCTCTTGGGATTTTGGGTATGCACACACACATACCTATTGTGATTTTCAATCTTCCAGGCCCAGGACCCAAACTGTGCAGTCAGCCTTGTGTGATCCAGCATCTTAACCTCCATTCCACCTGCTGGCTTCGCCTATGGCTTCTTTCTTTCCTTCCTTTTTGTTCCTTGCTTTCTTTCTACGTTTATTCTTTTGTGAAAGACAAAGACAGAGGCAAGAACCCTCACAGATTCCCCCCCAGCCTTTCTAGCCGTCCAGGGTCACCAGGCAACTAGGAAATTGAACTCGTAGCCCTCCACATGGGTCCAGGGGACTGGCCCTGTCTGTGGCTTCTTTCGCTATGGGGCAGAGTTGAATAGTTGTGACAGAAACCATGTAGACCACAAAGGCTAAGTTATTGGCTATCTGTCTCCTTTAAGAAAATGTTTGCTGGGCAGATGGCATAGTGGTTACATCGCTGGACTCCCACATGGCCGGCCGCGGTTCAAGTCCCTGACCTGGTGGCTTGAAACTCACACCGGGCACATATGCGTGCATGTCCAAGATCCCAGGAGGAAAATGGAGAAGAAAGGATTGCCGGGTAGCCATCCCTCCTGGGGGGTGATTTCTCACTTTCCCTCTCACGTCTCTGGCCCTCTCTCCAGCCAGTGCACACGCCCTAAAGCAAAAACCTCTAAAAAAGAAAATGTTTGCTGACCCTTTGGGTAAATAAGTATTAAATGAACTTCTTATGAAACACTGTATGGAAAAGTACATAAATTGTTGAAGTATGCACTTCAATGAACTTTCACAGTCTAAACACATCCGTGTGAAGTCGAGCATGAGCCAGGCCCAAAATCCCGAGAGGATGGAGAAACAGAGAAGGGATTGCAGCGTGACCACACCCTGTCGGGGGTGCTTTTTCCTCCTCTCTGTCTCTCTCTGGCCACTGCACACAACCTCTGGCGAATGAAAATAAAGAAAGAAAGGGTAAATTAAATATAAACACACTCATGCAAACAGCACCCAGATAAAATGCTCGAACATAACCAGCACCCCAGCAGCCCCCTCTGTAACCCCAGTAAGAGTAACACTGTCCTGACCTTTTTTTTTTTTTTTTTAACTTTTAACATTTATTTCTGTAACTTTTTCAGTGGAGAAGACAATATACTCTTTGGGGAAAGGTGAGGGATTGTGGAAATAGGGTGGAAATATGCCCTGGGTAAAAATGACGGCGTCAGCACCTGAAGTTGGTAGGCCTGCCGAGGAGACAGACACGGGGACTGCCACCCCAGCTCAGGGGACAGCTATGTCTGGGGCTCCACAGACCAGACACACCGCAGGGCTGCTCTAGACCTGCGTCAACGTCTCCCACATCGTGGTGAAACAAGTCCCACTCGTCTTCAGGGTCTGTCAGTTTGTCCTCCCCACCCTGTATTGGCTTGATGAACCCCCTTTTCTATCTCCGTGGCTCTCTACGCCCATGAGGGTACGCATGCTTATAAAAACAGTTCCCTCCGAACGGGCAGCTCCCACGGCCTTCGGCGAAGTACCTGCATGCCTGGTTGCTCATTGCCTCCTTGTATTTCTGAATGAGTCTCTCCTTCTCTTCTTTCTCCTCCACCCAGTACTCACTTGGAATGACAAAGTTAGAGGTGATCCGGCATTCTGGGCAGGCCTTGGTGATCTTGCTCACGAATTGCTTAGCCCTCCTCCACTCGCGGATGCACTTGAGACAGTAGGTGTGGTTGCAGCTGGTCAGGATCCCGAAGCGGCGCTCACCGGGGTTGGCTTTCTCATAGACCACCTCCATGCAGATCCCACACGCCCGGTCCTTGCTGCGCTGCACCGCGAGCGACAGCGCCGCGTCCTTCTCACGGGCCTCCATGCAAGATCGGACGTGTTGTGATCTCTGCGCCACATCCATCGGATGGAGCACCCACCTCCCACACAGGAAGCACATGTCCCCGTGGAGGTACACGCAGTTCTCGCCGAAGCAGCACACCCCCACTGCGGCGTAGAAGCACAGCAGCTTCTTGGTTTCCACGGCACTTGGCTTTTTCGCCGATGCTTCTTTGGTCACTGAACCCTGCAGGGGTGCTTCGGTGCAGAAAGGGGCAGTCCGGCCCCAGTTGGGCTGCCTAGGGACAAACTCAGTGCCATTCACCCAGTCCTTGGTGCCTTCAACTACCTTGGCAGAGGTAGTTGATTTTCGTGACTCAGCTTCAGCTGTATTCATTTCAGCGAGCGGTCCAACTTCGGATGGGAGAGTCGATGAAGCAGCGACTGATGACTTTGCTGTTAGATCTGTAGCCATCACATCTTCCCGTTTCAATGGCTTTCTAGGTGCATGTGATTCTGACCACGGGGAAGGTCTCGAGCATCACAAGATGGCCGTGGACAGGAACCAGAACAGAGCTGCTCTGTAAGAGTTCCTCTGTCCTGACTTTCGACCCCTAGGTGAATGGTCTCTAGTTCTGCAGTGTCAATTGGGGATACAAGAGCAGAGAGAATCCAAGTTGTTTTTTGCCTTCTGCAGTAGACAACATCATCTCTGGTGGTTTAAATTTAGGCTCGTTCTCGAGAATGCAAATCTGTCCGAAAGCAACTTTACTTGGCTATTGACTCAAGCTCCCACAAGGCACCCTTTTTTTTTTTTTTCCCTTACAGAGAAGTTTCACTTTCAGTCATGGATGGTTCAGGTCAGTGCCCAACTTCTTCTTTCTGAAGTTTTTCATCCCGCAAAGTTCCCTATTCTATGATCAAACCAAATTATACTATATTTGGGACAATAAGAAGGGATTTTCCAGCCTCACTCCTGGGTCTTTCCAGACTTCGAACTGGCCAAACACTGGGAAAGATGTATTGAGTTTTCAGACAACTCATGGTGCTTTTTTTTTTTAAAGAATTATTTTATTTAACTTTATTTATTTATTTTAATTTGACCAGAGAGAAATAAAGTAAGAGAGAAAGAGAGAGAGGGAAAGTGAGAAAGCAAGCTGCCAGATCCAGAACTCAAACCATGGTCAGCCATGCGGGAGTCCAGCACCCTTCAGTACCATGCCACTTGCTGACCCCCTCATGACACATTTTTGCATAGAAAAATATGTCACGACTTTTCCGACAACCCAGTAGTTAGGTAAACTCCTTCCAAACAGTGGTCCCCAGTGATGAACTTGGACATCAGCCTTTCAAACCCTGGGACTCACTTTTAAATTTTGTACTCAAAGTGCATTGTGTGCTGGGTGCAAAATCAGTTGAAGAACACTAGTGCATGTGCTTTTGGAAAATGGTACTCTTGGGACCAGCAATTGCGTAATGGCTATGTTTCTGGACTCCCATGTAGTCGACCGCTGTTCAAGTCCCAGACCCAGTGGCTTAAACTCACGCCGGGCGCGTGTGTGTGCGTGCCCAGAATCCCAAGAGGAGAAAGGATTACAGTGTTGCCATCCCCCCTTGGGTGGGGTGATTTCTCGCTTTCTGTCTCTCTGTCTCTCTCTTTCTGGCGTGCGCATGCACCCTATAGCAAAAAACTCTCAAAAAAGCAAAGATACTTTGTGTCATAAACATGACCCAGCACCAGTGGTGGTGTTCAGGGGTGACCTGCACTTGGTGAGTCTCTTCCCAGGGCCTCCTGGACTGTTAGCTGGCTCTTGGGCAGCCATGTGGTCATTATTCTGGCCACAGGCCCCAGGAGGCAGGAGGCTGTCTGTAACTTCCCGACTGGATATCGGGGACCAGGTTCCACCTGCTGACACAATTTGACCTATAAGTCGTGGCTGAAGGGAAACCTCCATCCCTTCTCGTAGGAGACAGAAAAGGTTCCCCCTGGTAAGCCAGGTCTTCTCTCGGTAACTTACTGCTGCTGTGTTTTGTTTCAGCACCAAAAGAAATACAGCTCAGAGGAGTACCACCACAGGCTGCAGACATTCCTCAGCAACCAGAGGAAGATAAACGCCCATAACAATGGGAACCACACCTTCAAAAGTACGGTGGGGGGGGCGGGGGCAGCAGTTGGCGTGGTGGTTAAAGGTATTGGACTCTCACCTGGCTAACCATGGTTCGAGTCTCAGACCTGGCGGCTAGCTTTCTCACTTTCCCTCTCTCTCACTCCATACCTCTCTGGTCAAATTAAATAAATAAATAAAGAGAGAGAGATTTAAAAAAAAAAAAAAGTATGGTGGTGTCACCTTCCTCTAGGCTTTTCTGGGCCCCAGGAAGGAGGAAACATCTGGAGAGATGGTTCAATTGGTGACACATGTTGTCAAAAGGAGGGGGGAGGGTAGTTTCCCACTTTCTGTCTCTCTCTCTCTCCTGCAGGCACATGTGCCCTATAGCAAAAATCTCTCTTAAAAAAAAAAAAAAGAAAAAGCGGCAGCAACTAAGTTGCAGTGGCTTTAAATAGGACTGCAGTGCACAAGGAGGGTTCATTATTTATTTCTGCTCGTTTACTAGTGACTCACTAAGCTACTTCTTCATTCTTTTCCAGTGGCACCGAACCAATTTTCAGACATGGACTTTGCTGAATTCAAACGCAAGTATCTTTGGTCAGAACCTCAGGTAAGTGTAATCATTGCAACCGAATCTGAATCGTTTCAGTCAAACCTTTAATAAGTTCTAATAAGTTTGTAGCCTGCTCTGCCTCCAGCCACATCCAGTCCCATCCCCAGCCATAACCTGGGACATCCCCACATTCTTGGGAGAGCCAGAGAGGTCCCCCACTCCAGGCTCATGGCCTTAGCAATGTGATCCCCTAACATAGGGTTTCCCGATAAAATACAGATGCCTAATTAAAATGGAATTTTAGGTAAGCAACAACATTTTTTAGCATAAGTATATCCCAATCGTTGCGTGGGCTGTACTTATACTACAAAGTCACAATTCAAATTTAGCTAGGTAGACTGTATTCGTTTTAATACCAGAGAGGAAAAAAACAGCACCCTCCTCCCCCATAGGACCTGACCACACCACAATCCTTTTTCCTCCTTTGCTCCATCCCATCACGATCCTGGCCATATGTGCACACAGCCACCAGGGCCAGGATTTAAACTGTGGCTGGCCATGTGGGATCTGGTGCTTAACCACTGCTTAACATTGTGCCACAGGGCCAGCCCAGTAATCTGTAAGTCTTCTCACCCTAGCCCAACCACCCCGACTTAACTCCTCACACACACACCCTGCCCCTGTCTGTTGGTCTCAAGTACTAAATGACATGTCCCCTCAAGGGGGACCAGTTGGGGACATGTCATTTAGTATTTGGGACCCATAGATAGGGGAAGGAGTTAGGTCCTATTGGCCACAGTTTTTCTCATTCTTCCCTAGTCATCCTGTTTTAATTACGAGTGTTTTGTCAACATGGTTTTTCCCTGAACAAATGTATCTGGTTCTTCCAGAACTGCTCAGCCACCAAAAGCAACTACCTCCGTGGTGTTGGTCCATACCCACCCTCTGTGGACTGGCGGAAAAAAGGGAAATTTGTCTCGCCAGTGAAAAATCAGGTATGCATGGCAGCCCTCATCCTTCCCACCCCAAACAGCCACATTCTCAGGCAATACATGAGGAGGAAAATGCAAAAGAACCACAGAAGCATCACAAGCATTCCCCCAGTCTATCTTTTCCTCCTCATCCTTCCAGCTCTTCCTCTGAAAGGCCTGGGAGGTCATTATTTATGTGGGCTGCTGGGAGACTGAAAAAACTTCCCTTTATTGGGCTCAAGTCTATTCCATCTCTCCTATACCCAAGTTTCCCCACTGGTACTAGGTCTCCCCTTCAGAATCACCCAGACATTTTGTTCCTGGGGCTCACCAGAGATTGGACACCAGGACCCCATCCCTACCACCCAGGCATCTTCTCTTCTGACCTCCGTCCTCTCCTCGGGCACTATGGTCCAAAACCCCTGCCCCGGACTGGCTGCCTCCCTGGGTAGCTCTAGGTGGTTGGTAAATACAGGCGTGCATACATGCACACGTGCTGCGTATTGGTGAAGACAGTGGTGCGTGTATCCACTGGTGCTGTGTGCTCATGGTCTGGTGGAGGCTGTCCTCTCTGAGGGGCAGAGTCTCCCCTGCAGGGCACAGTGGACCTGGTGAGGCAAGGGGCTTGGTGGACTTGGCGAGGCGAGGGGCTTTGCCTTCCTCCTACTCAGAGCTCAGAGCTCAGAGCTGGGGGTGTGTGTGTGTGTGTGTGTGTGTGTGTTGGGGGAGGATCCTAGCATGTGCAATGTTCTGGAACATCTGGACCCGCCCTCACCCAGCTATTCCGTCTGCCAACTGTGATCCCTCACCCAGAGGTGACAACACAGTGGTTTTCTCCAGAAACATTCCCACTCTCAATTCCAGAAGACGATAAGTGAAGCTTTCCACTGGACACCTTCCACTGACAGTGGAAACTTTCCACGGAAACGCTCCATGGGAAGCATTTCTTCACCCTCTGAAAAGTCACGTGGCACATGGATTGCTTCCTCCCTGGAGGCTGCCGAGCAGTCTGGGCATCTAAATAGGCATCTGGGAGCTGAAACAACCCTCCCCCCGCAGCAGCAAGAACCCCGCCTTGGCCCCCATGACATAAACACAGTCTCTGGGTCCTCTGAGAGTGACAGGACACTCAAAGCAAGTGTGAAGTGTGGAGACCTCTGGGCGGAGGTGAGGGAGGGCTGCCGGGAATGTCCAAGTCCTCCTCTAACTGGCCCAGGCCACCAGGGCTCAGGGGCAGGACCAGGGGCTCACCAGGACCTAGGTGTGCATGGTGTCTACCTGTGCTCCCATGCACAGACACAACCCGCAGGACCTGACCTTAAGGATTCTCACTTGAGGGAGGGCAACCTGGGACGGAGGGTGTCTGACCCAAGGTCCAGGGTAAGTGACAGGGAGGACTCCGAACCAGACCCCTGCCCCCAAGGTTAGTGCCCGGCGCTCAGGCCTGCTCTGCCTCCTTCAGCAGCAGTGGTGGTCAGCCTTGACATGGCCAGCCTACCTCCTGGCCATCTTGGGGACCCTCTGACAAGGTTTTCCCCTCCCTGCTGAGGCGAGGATTTGAGGGGAGACCAGAGCCAGGGGCCAGCATGAAGACTCTTTCCAGGGAACAAATGATAAGAACTAAACTAGGAAAAGACGTGGATGGGAGGAGACCACGTAAGAGACACGGGAGATGTGGACTGGAGGCTTGAACCAGCCAGGAGAGGGGAAGCGCCAGACGGGCCTGTGAGGAAACGCGTAACAGGAGCTAACGTGATGGAGCCCACTGGGTCACTACGTGACAGGCCCTTTTTATTTTTGGGGGGGGGAGGTTGCCTTAGGGCACGTGTGCTCGCTTGAGAGAGAGACAGAGACAAAGACAGTGAGAAGACAAGTGAGAAATCGCCCCCCGGGGGATGGCCAAGTCGCAATCCCTTCTTCTCCATTCTCCCCCCAGGCTCTTGGGCACATGTACACGTGCCCGGCGGCAGGCACCTTCTTCCCCAACCCTCCTGGCAGCCCTGAAAGGCAGGTGGTGTCGCCATCTCCACTTCATGTGTGACAGAGGGGAAGTCCCTTGCCCGGGCCCCACGGCTGGCATCTGGCAGCACTGCCATTTAAGCCAGGCAGGCTCCAGCACCCAGCACCAACCCTCCTGTCGGCTGGAGGTGCGGTGAATCGGAGGGCGGGCAGCACCGCGATGGTGACAGCAGATGGTGCCATGGGCGGGTGGGGCAGTCCTCGGAGTCTCAGGTGTCAGGAGCGTCATCTGTGGGAGTCCTCTCGGCCTCTGGGTTTGAGTGGCAGTCAGGGTTGAGGCCAGGGCTAGGGGAGGTGTTAGTTCAACAGTGAGGACTAGGGGTGGCATGACATCGGTAGTGGGAGAAGGTTCTAGAAGCAAAACCTGGGGGAATTCTTCTGGGAAACAACAGACAGAAGAGGGGCCAGCCAAGTTTCAGACCCAGACAGTCAGAGGGGAGTGGGAGGGAAGGTCAGCAGGGCTCCGGGCCTTCATAGGACAGAATCAGAAGCCCACAGGTGCTGACCAGAGGGTGCCTGCGGCTCCTGGCCCTCTGCGGCCCTTGGTGGGCTCGTCCGTAACCTGGGGGGAAGAACACCTGCCTGGACAAGCTTGCAGTAGGGGCCTGGGAACTGGAAAGCATCGGGTATGGGGGGCTCTCTCAGGGCGGTGGTGGAAGCAGAAGGCAGGAACTGTCCCGCTGTCTCAGTCGCCACCTTCCTCCACCTGCTGTGGCCTCGCTAGGGTGCCTGCGGCAGTTGCTGGACTTTCTCCACCACCGGGGCCCTGGAGTCTGCTGTCGCCATCACCACTGGCAAGCTGCTCTCGCTGGTAAGAAATCGGCCCCAGGCCACTTCCCTCTGAGGACGCCCTGTGGCCTTGCAGGAACAGACGCAGAGACAGATGGGCCTGGGCCTCGGCCTCCAGCTGGACATCGGGTGTCTGTGCCTGTCAACACTTGCACGGAAATTTCAATGGGTGCTTTTTTTAGACAGGAATGAGCTTGGTTGAGGTAATGCCCCGAGGCCCCATTCCTATGTGGGTCTGGGTCTTCCTCCACCGGTGAGGGGCTCAGAAAAGCAGAGCCTGCCCTTCAGGGCCTGTGCCCCTTCCCCGGTCACCGCAGTTGTCTTCCTGGCCCCATGAGCCCCCAAAAATGAGAGGTGATGGCTTCTGAAGGAACTGTCCCAGCCCCGGCTCTAAGTGGGGAAAAGGAGAATAGAGGACAGGGTCGGCAAGGCCTTGAGGCCCTGGGTTGAGGGTAGGAGGGACAGGGTCTCTGGCTGGGCTTGCCCGCCCTTCACACTCACTCACGTGACCCCATGCCCCGTACCATGTGAGCACACCTGCAGCTGCTCACCTGGTAATTACTGAGCTCCCCGGCTTGTGCTAGTTCCTGGCAATGCAAGGACAGTCCCTGCCTTAGAAGAGCTTATCATCGGTCATCTTGTCTAGACACGGCACTGATTGGATCACAGATGTGGCCAGCCTGGGCAACTTAATGCCTTGTGCAAAAACATCCCATGGCCCCGGCTTTATTATTATTATTATTATTATTATCATTTATACATGTGCTCATCAGAGAGAGAAGGGAAGTGAGAAAGCAAGCCCCCAGGTGCAGGACTCGAACTGCAGTCGGCCATGTGAGAGTCTAGTACCTTTACCACCATGACACCTGCTTGCCTCTCTCTCTTTTTTGTTTTTAATTTTCACCAGAGGGTGCACTCCAGAAAAAGAAAGCGAAAAGACACCCCTCATGCGGATGGTCACGCCTCAGTCCCTTCTTTCCCATCTCTCCCTCCTTTCAGGATTTTGGGCATTCACACGTACCTATCTAGTATAGGTCTCAAACCACCGGGTCCAGGTCTTGAACTGTGCTGTCGACCCTGTGGGACCACCCCCGGCTGCCAAGGGTATGCCCCTGCCCTAGGAGGGGCCCACCCATCAGAGTTTCCCATCAAGCACTTCTGCCCTGCCTAGCACACGCTGCCACCACCACCGACATCTTCCCACCTGTGGCCGACCTGGTGGTAGCCACGTGGTCCCCCCCTGACAGATAGTGAGGTCAGCTCACATGGCCAGGGTTACAGAGTCAGACCAGGGAAGACTGGAATGGAAACCCAGGACTGTCCAGTCCCCAAATCCATCCTCTATCCGTGTTCTGTCACCTGGCTGTCTCTCCACCAGCCACCAATCCCTGCTGGCAGTGGCCAGAAGAATAACTAGAGTGAGAAACATGCCATCACACGTCATCCTGAACCAAGATGGTGGAGCCCCATAGCCTTCCTGCACCGCCACTTTGTCCCCATAGAACTTGCTTCCCATCCAGTGAGCTCGTCTCCAGCCATAGCGGACTGAGCTTTATCCTAAAGCCAAGCACACAGGGAGACACTGCTGGTCCCCAGGGCCCTCTTCTGTCACCGCACATGCCCCAACCAAGACCCTAGCCTGCCAGGGCGGTCATCTCACGAGCTCCAGCCCCGGGCAGCCCCACCTCTCACGGAGTTCCCAGCAGGCTCACCTGGGTGTGCTTCTTGCAGGGGGCTCCCCAGCCAGGCCTTCGAGTACATCCTGTACAACAAGGGCATCATGGGAGAAGACACCTACCCCTACAGGGGCCAGGTAACCCCAGCCACTGCCCAGCTCCTCTCCTGCCCCCGGAGTTCTCAGAGTGGTCTGACTTTCCTTCCCTCTGCTCACCTGCTCCTCCCCAACCCTCCTCAAGGGCCACTCTCTCCTTAAGCTGTCCTCAGGATCCCCAGCCTCACCCCCTGCCCTGTCCCTTCCTGGCTCTCTGTTCTCTGGCTCCATCCCTCTGTCCCCTCAGGGTCCCTTGTGCCCAGCCTTCTTGGGCTCACGTTGCCCAAGGCCTCCTGCCCTCGCCTCAGCCCAGCCCAGCCTGTTCTCTGGCTCCATCCCTCTGTCCCCTCAAGGTCCCTTGTGCCCAGCCTTCTTGGGCTCAAGGGCCTCCCGCCCTCGCCTCAGCCCAGCCCAGACGCAGCCCAGGTTTCTCAAGCCTCCAGGGCCGGGACCCGAATGGCGCAGGCAGCTGTGTGGGATCCACCTGCCCCAGCACCAGGCCACGGAGCTGGCCCACCACCACAGACCTTCTCACTGCAGCTCCTGTGGCCCCTGCCCCTACTCAGACTTGGTGTCCTTACCCCCGAGGTCACAGAGGACTTCCCCTCGGAGCTCTGCCCATACATCTGATTTGCCCAGACCCTGCAGAAGCTCCTCAGGGCCCGTGGGATAAAGGCCAGGTGCTCTGTCCACTCCCCGTCCCCATTCCCGAGGCCATCCGCACACCCAACCCAAACCAATCCTTCCGACTATCCCTCCTTGACTCCCCCTCATAAATGCTGGCACTAGTAGGTTCCCAAACGCCAGGTCCCACCCACCCTCCAGTCCTGTCCCTTAGCATCTGGCTTTCTCTGCTGTCTTAGAGGGTTTGTGTCCCCCTCCTGTGACCTTGCCTCGGTGCCTATCTGTCCCATCCTGCCACCGGAGTACTCATTCAGCCTCCATCTCTCAAGGAGTTCCCTTGGCTGGGTCAGATCCGTCCCAGGTTCCTGCCAAGGCTAAAATTTCCCTGCTCACAGGTGGCGGGCAGACCAGAGCCCTCTGAGTCCCCACCTGAGGAAGGCAGAGGGCGCCACATTGTTACCCTAGGCTCAGGACCAGACACCTAGCCTGCCTCTGCCACAGCTGACACAGGACAGCTCCTGCCCCCAGACTTGGCTTTCCTTGAGGACAGGGCCTTTCATTCTCTCTGAAGTGACCCTGCCACCCAGCCCCTGGAGCGTTCGGGTTTTGCTTAGGAAACATTATCCAAACTGCATGGGAAGGCTGCAGTGTCAGCCTCAGGTCAAGTGTCCCTCACCTATGTCCTTCACCCTTTGCTGTCCTAACAGGACGGCCACTGCAAGTTCCAGCCCCAAAAGGCCATTGCGTTTGTCAAGGATGTGGCCAACATCACACTTGTGAGTACCAACGCTCCTCGAGGGTGGGGATGTGTTCTAATTAGGAGGCTGGCCTCCACTGGTGTGGGTGGCCAGTGGGCCCGGCGGGTCAGTGGTTCCTGGCAGCACAGCACTTTGGTTGGTGTGTCTGGGTCATCGCCAACTCTCACCACTGTGGTGGCAGTGAGGGGAGCAATGACAGGGTGAGCTTGGGACCACAGGTGGCTGCTCTGTTTCTGAACTCCAGGTCTCCAGGTCTTCATTCCTATGGTTCTGCTTTCTTGTCTGTAAATGCAGGTGATAATCCCCCTCCTGCAGAAGAGGGTGGCAGCCAGTGTGTGAGATCAAGGAGTGTGAATGTGGGTCAGTCAGGATCAGCTAAGTTCTGCTGCAGCGACGACCAACCCCAGATCCGAATGGCTGAGAACTGTCAGTGTCCATCTCACCCCTGCACACTTGGGCAGGGCCAAGTGTACTCCATGTGATTGGCCTCACTCTAAGACCCAGGCAGGGGTGAGGAGAGAGGGAAATTATGCACTGAGCCTTCAAGCCCAAAGAGTGTACACAGGCATGCTTCCCCTTACAGGGATGGGGACAAGCGATCGGACCCTGATTCTCAGAGAGAGAGAGTCAGATGTGCATGAAAAACCCTAGTGATGCTGATGTGCACATGAGCAAGTGTGGGAGGACGTGAGTGGGGAGCGAAAGAATATCCCCACACTGGTGGAGACCGAGCGTGCATGGCAAGGGGTGGTGGGCCCACAAACGGAAGTTCGGAGCTGCGTTTAATCGGAGCACGAGCCAAGCCGTCCGCAACCGTGACAGTGGAGGTTTACGGCATTCCCGCGGGTGCTATGCCAACCACGTAACACGCATTATCGCCTCACTCTCGAAAATATCTCGGAGGTGTCATTACTACCTTCATTATAGAGATGAGGAAACAGGCTCAGAGTGGTGAAGTAACTTGCCTAAGGCCACAGAGCTGGGAGCTGGAAGCTGGACTAGAACTGAAATCGTGTCATGCCAGAACCAGGGCTCATCGCCTCGACATCAGCCACACCCCGGTAGAGGGATGTCGCCATCTTCAGAAGGTGGCTGGTTTCTCTTAGCCATGCCCACCAAGCCTAACTGTGCCAAGCTGCTGACTCCCACCGAGAGATGAATCAGGGCCTTCGAGCTACGCCTTTAACCTGGTATGCAGGAAAGCCTTGTTAATGACCCCGCAGGCCCTGCAGAACAGGCCAGAACTGGCACGCAGCCTCCTGGGCAGGGCCACCAGTGGCTGTGGAGATGGGTGGCAGGTCTCCATGCCTCCTCCAGACCCACCCCGACCTGTCTGGGCTCCCAAGGCCTCATCTGAGTTCCAGGAAGGAAACGGCTCGATTGCTAGCCCATTTGCTTTCTGCAGTCGGTCTCTGCCCCCAGGTGGGGGCCCCATACCCTGCGGCACCTCCCTTCCTATAGGAGAGCCCTGGCCTGGCTCTTATACCCTCCACCCCCATTTCAAGTCCTGCAGGTCTCTTCATTGGCTCTCCAATGCAGTCATTTCCTGCCAGGATGGGGTTGTTGTTTTTTTTTTTAATTTGTTGTTGTTGTTGTTGTTGTTGTTTTTTCAAAAACTCAGCTCCCGGGTGTGGATGTTGGTCTGAGGTGCAATTTTTTTTTTTTAATTTTTTGTTGTTGTTGTTGTTGTTTTCAAAAAACTCAGCTCCAGGGTGTGGATTTTGGTCTGAGGTGCAGCCTGGGTGTGGCTCCCCAGATGGGCCCACCTGCTGTCCTCTCTTGGTCTAGAGCTGAGGCCTCCAGGAAGCCACCCCAACTTCTTGTCCGCCTTCCCCGGAGAAGGGGAGGATCTTACTCCAAAGGTGCCCAGCGCTTATCTGGGTATATCTGTTCATGGACTTGCAGTTGCTGTGTTCCACCAACAGGGCCCTGTAGACTGGTTTTAGGAGTCCTGGGAGAACTGGGGGAGGGGGCGGAAGTGGGGGCATCGGGCCCATTGCTCCACCCTTGGGGCTCCTGGCCCAGCAAAGGACTTGGTGAAAGGCTGAGCGCCTGAATGAGCAGAGGCTATGGGACTTCCTGGGAGTGGAGCAGGGGAGAGAGAGGACAAGCGTTAACTGGACAGACCCAGCCAGCGAAGGAAGGGAATGAGGCCACGGGGCAGCCAATTTGGTTTGGAGGAAGGACCTGTGAGCCAAATAAAGAACCCAGCGGGACCCCTGCCACCCAGTCCTACTGCGTGGGGGCACCCACCCCTCAGAGCTGCCTCTCAGCCTCTTCCTCTGATCATCCAGGATGCCGACAGCACGTCACCTTGGCTGAGGAGTTCAGGCCTCGAGTTCCTGCCTTGGGGCAAAGGGCCATGTCGGGAAAGCAGGGCGGGGAGGTGGCAGAGGCCAGGTGAGGCCAGAGCTACCTTGGGGTCCTTCTATCTGTCCACAGAACGATGAGGAGGCCATGGTGGAGGCCGTGGCCCTGTACAACCCTGTGAGCTTTGCCTTCGAGGTGACCAACGACTTTATGATGTATAGAAAGGGCATCTACTCGAGGTGAGCCAGGGTCCCGGAAGCCAGGAGGGATTGTGGGAGGGGTCGCAACTCTGGGACCCGGTCAGACCACACACTGGTTCACCCTTACACATCCTGGGGTCAGGAACCATGGTCTCTATATCAGAGAAGAGGAGAGAGGAGGCCAGAGGAATGCGACAGACAGGGCACTTGGCTAGCCAGGTTAGGGCCACACGTGAGAGCTCCACTCTCCTCTGCAGAGAAGCTGCTGCCGATTCAGAAAACTCAAGTTCGGGCCAAGTCCGTGCCCTGGTGGTTCAGGCAGGAGGATTCCACAGCTTGAAGTGTGAATCCTGGCCCCAGCAGCTTGAAAACCACGCTGGGTGTATGTGTGTACACATGCTATGCCCCAAATCCTGGCAGGCTCGAGAGGTGGAGGAGAATGGACTGCAGTGTGACCATTCCCCTCTGGGGCGCGTTCTCCCTCTCAGACTCGGTCTTTTTCTCGTGAGCACACGTGCTCTCTGGCAAAAAATTTCGACAACTAAAAATAATCAATGGCATGGACACAAAGTGGATCCTGGGACTGTTGCCTGCAGAAGGTGGAGGACTGCTCTCTCCTGGGGCGGGAGGCGAGGACAGAAAGCAGCAGGTGTTAGAGGAGGGCCAGCACCCCACGGAGACCCCCTCTGGGCCTGAGCACAACCGCCCAGCTGCCCCTTCAAGAAACACGGCTCCATCTAAGCACTCAGAGGGCCCTGGCTGGGTGTCACTGAGTCACTTCCTATTTTTTAACTTTAGTTTAGGGCACGTGTGCTTACCAGAGAGAGTGAGCAATCACCTCCGGGGGATGGCCACACTGGAATCCCCTCTCCATTCTCCTCCCGGGATTTGGGGCACACATGCACATGCACTGGCCATGTTTTTCAAGCCACCAGATCCGGGGCTCCATCTGCGAAGCCTGCTGTGTGGGAATCCAGCAACTGAACCTCCATGTCACCTGCTAGCCGAACGACTGGGCCGCTTTTAGCCTACCCATATTACCAACTCTTTTTTGACCCTGTTTTCCAGTACTTCCTGTCACAAAACTCCAGATAAAGTAAACCACGCAGTACTGGCTGTTGGGTATGGAGAAGAAAACGGGATACCCTATTGGATCGTGAAGAACTCTTGGGGCCCCCAGTGGGGAATGAATGGGTAAGCAGCTTCCCAGTCTCTGTTTCAGGGATGGGGCACTACCCAGGTCTGGAGGTCCCAGGGGGGGAGTCTCCTCTATCTCGCACTATGGCTTATGACTGTCTGGTCACAAAGAGCTGGCCGGCCATGTCTAGCCCAGACCTCTCAAGGACCCAGGGTTAACAATTCTGGTAGGGACAGGAGTCCAGCGGGCTCAGTAGGGTCTGTAACCACTAGGACAACAGCTCAGCACTGAGAACCCTGCTGGGACCACGCCAGCAGCTGGCCAGGCCCGGCTTTGCGCATCGAGACTACGTATTTATTTCTGATCAGTAGTCGCTGCTCCTTTAAGGAGAAAAGGCTGGAACCGGGAGGCCTGGGTATATATTACACGTTGATGTGACTTGGCCTATGCCTCTCTTCCTAGACCCTTGTCCAAAGAGGAGCGTCTTCACTGTTTCCTCTGGGGGTCCCCGTGGTGATTCAGTCTCTCTGCTAGGGTCTGGCCAGGGCTAGGAAGGGCCCTCAGTAAATTCTGGGGAGAGGTGGGCTATGGAAAGAACGTGGACGTTCATCTGGCACCAAGGAGAGGGAAGAATCAGTTATTCACGGTTCAGGCTCAGTCATTTCCTGGCCATCAACTAAGCCCAGTGGTACTGTTTCCAAATATGGATCAGAATAAATGGAATTCCGAGGGCCAAGTCCCCAGAGTTGGCTCTTCCAGAAGAGGCCACCGCCTGCAGGCCTCAGTACCCCCTCTCCCTGCCCAGGTACTTCCTCATCGAGCGTGGCAAGAATATGTGCGGCCTGGCTGCTTGCGCCTCCTACCCCGTTCCCCTGGTGTGAGCCAGGGCACAGCACCCAGCAGCTGGCAGAGATGGGGCAGAGTGGGCGGCCCAGGCGGCACTGTGGAAACCCAGCCCTGGAAGAAGTGGTGGGTTCCATCCAGGGGCCTCCTCACTGGCCACACTCACCCCGTGCTGAGCCTGGGGATCTAGAGAAGATGAGGACGAAGCCTCCACCACACACTGCCACCACCTACATCTGGAGGCGAGGATGGTCACCAGCCATGTGTGCCTTAGGCGTGGTTTTTAACGGAAGCGAGCCCACGAGGACTGAGAATGTCCTTTCTTTCAGGGGGGCTACTTTCCACATTCTGAGAGAGCTCCAGGACTATCTTTTCTGTGTTATTTGTTCAATAAAGATTCAGTAAGCACTTCCCTGGGTCAGGCCTGTGCTGGGTGTTGGGCCCAGTGTGACTCAGACCATCTGCCCTCAGGGCTTGGTCCCTTGCGAGGGTGGCATCGAGTCCTAGTCCTATGGATTGAAAAACATGCTGGGCTCATGTGGTGAGAGCCCCAAATCCCGCCAGGATGGAGGAGAAGGGAGTTGAGTGTGACCACACCCCACTGGGAGGTGCTTTCTCCCTCTGTCTCCGCCTCTCTCTGGCAAACATTTATGTCCTTTGGCAAAATTAAGAAAAATAAAAAAAGAGTAGAATTCTGATACAGGGCCACAGGTGGTGTGGAGGTAAAGACACTGGATCCCACATGGCAGACTGCATGGTTCAAATCTCAGCGGCTTAGAAATATGCCAGGCACGCGTGTGCATGCCCATGGGTACATCAGAATCCAGCGACGTAACCATTGCACCATCTGCTGGTGCCTCTGATCCACTTTTTAAAAACATAACCCTTTTATTAGTCCTGAAGTATACAGAGGCATTTGAGAAAATTCGAAAATAAAGACAGGGGAACTGCAGATGGCATAATGTCTCTGTCACTGGATTCCTATACATGGTTGACCTCGGTTCAAATCCTGGACCCAGGGGCTTCAAATTCACGCTGGGTATGTGTGCATGCATGCGCAAAATCCTGAGAGGAAAATGGAGGAGAAGGGATTGCAGTGTGGCCATCCCCACGGGGGGTGTCTACCTCTCTGTCTCTCCTGCAAGCTCATGTGCCCTATAGCAAGTCTCTCAAGAAAGAAAAGAAAGACAAAAATTTTAAAACCTTTACTTTTCACCAACTAAATTTCAATTTTTAATACCTTAGTATATGGCCTTCTTTATACTAAAATGCGAGTATTAATTTCTAGAGATGCGAGTAAGCTGTCTCGTCTAGGATAATAATTATCATCGATCGTGCGTCACTCCTGGGGACACACTCTCTTGTGGAAGACTATTAAACCAATCTCAAAATCCAGATTACTTTCTAGACTAGGGTAGCAATAGCCTGATTCTTTTATTTGGTCAGATTGTCTTCTTTGCATTTAATAACCTGCGTGGTGTTACTTTGACCCCGTGTGAACATACAGCTCTGCACCAACAGCGAACACAGGCGTGTTTTAAAACTTGCTTGTGCTTTTGTAGGGGCTTGCTTTTTAAATTCTGTGTGCTTGTTTCCTACAGAAGCATGCACTGGGTCTATTTGGTTACTCTGAAATCCATTTTCTCTTGGAAAAGCAGAATAAATCTTCAGTGTCGTCGTTTCAGCGGGAGGAGGCTGGCGGTCCCGGTCCCCTTCCCACACGGAGGGTCTGTTCGTTTTTAGAATACATGTTCTCACGTTTTAGTTTCGGTGGGAGCAACCTCTACAGGGTATTTTCAATTCATTCCTGGCACTGCCTTCGCTTTTTCATCCTTTTTGAGTGTGAATGATACGGCATGGCTTATTTTAACCGTGGTTCCAAAGAGAAACCCTAGAAATCGCAAAGCCACACGAAGCCCCAGTGGCCGCTAGCTCTGCGGTTCTTGCGGTTCCCAGAGGTTGGACAGGACATTCCTCCAAGCCTGCGGGCGTTCGGCCACGCGGGGTGGGGACCCTGCGCTCTCTGCCCGTATGTAGAGGTTTTATAT